CCAGTTAATATTATCGTCGACCGAGCACTAGAGGGTTCATCAATGGCTCAAAAGTTCGGCCCCGCTATTAAAACTTCCCTGGAAAGGAATGGTTTTGCGACTCTCGGTCTGATGGGCTCGATGAATGCAGAGGGTTGTAAATTAATAACTGACGAAGTGACAGCAGACTCTAAGAATCTTGTGCGTGACACTGCTTTGGTCCTGAGCTCATTAACTTCTATGATTAGAGAGGCCAAGCAGGAGCTGGAGTTCCTTTATCAAACGGAGCTCAACGAGGAGAAAGTGAGAACCCGTAAGGCGATTGTGAATTTGCCCAAGGTCATTCGAGAAGCCCAGGATTCCTCATATACCTTATCCATCGGGCCAAACTTGATTGGGTCCGTGGCATGTGTGAAGAAGGTGATAGATCAACCTTTGGCCTACGTTGAGTTGAATGAGTTCCTGTTAGCGAGTCATGCTTATGATGCCGACTTGGAAACGATAACTACAGTGACTGGTGAAGTAGTACAACGCAGGAAGTCAGATGGGAAAAAGCGGCCCATCCACAACGTGGGGGAATGGAACCAATGCTTCCTACGCTACATGATAGCCCTACAGTTATCGGCAACTGGCCGTAAAAGTATTGATTTGGGTTCGCTGCTATCGTATATGTCCCAAGTCTCTCTCTTATTTACGTGCCATCCAATGTCGGTGGTATTCGATGCAGAGGCGAGCCATAGAAGGAGCGGCGCCATGGCGGTTGCAGCAGGAACGGTTTCGATGTCGCAGTTGTTTGGCTCGGAGGCTTATGTTCGTCCCAGATTGGACATGGAAATTAACATTGCTTACAATCAACGCCAACAGAAGAATCGACCTTGGCAGTCTCAAACCGCGAAAGGCCTCGGAAAAGGAAAAGGCGGTAAAGGCAAGGGCGTAGGTATTACTTCTGCCAAAGGTAAAGGCAAAGGAAAGGGCAAGTCACCCCTTCACCGAAGCGAGCCCTATCGCACTAACGACAGACTAGATTCTGGCACAAAGACTGTCGGACCTAGTGATGTCTCTCAGTGATTTTCTGCTACTCTCTAGCTGTTTCAAACCCTACATTGTGTTGAGAGTCCTCCGAAGGACTACCAAGGTTCTCCTACTATAAATTTTATCAAGTATTTAATCTCCCTTTCACCCATGGCTCGTAATCATAATCATCACCATAGCAGGTCCAGTATGGCCAAAACCATACGCAATGCCAAGCGTCATATTCGACGAGAAACTACCTTAACTAACAGAGAGATCCTCGATGAACTAATTCCGCATGATGGCTCTGAGGAAGATTACCGTAGACAGCAGCTGCAATACTATGCTACTCTCGCTCGCAATACTGAGCTGGGCAACGAAGAAGATGTAACGAGCAGTCTTACTGATGGTTCTTCATCTCCAGATCTGTGCTCCTGGTTTGAGATCCTGAAAAGCGATGGTCAGGACTTGCTCATGCTCGCGCCTCTGCGGCAATTATTGGCGACTGCTCTGAAAGAATTGCAGCGTGATGCCTCTCTATGGGAGAGTTTCATCGCTTGGATAGAGTTACCACGAGATAGTCAAGGCCTGCAAGTGGAGTTCCTGGATAAAATGAGGGATTCCATCCAGTCGGCAGGCAATAGGCTGAGAAATAGCTGGGCAACTCTTCTCGATAGCAGTACAGAGCCAGCACCGTCTTCTCCTCTCTGCGTTGATTTACTACACAGTCTAATGACTTCTACTACTAGACCGACGGAGAAGGAAGATCTTCTGATTTGCGATGAGATCTCTCGAGGTTGTAATATTGGTATAAGGAAGCCCATAAAGGCTTCCGGTCTCTGGCCCTCTGATAAAGGTCCCAAATATACCGGTTATGAGCTTGCTTTGTGGGCCGCTGACTCATGGAAGAATTACAAGTCCTGTGAAGAAGCCATTGATAGAGTCCAGCAAAGTCTGGATAAGGAGGTCTCCCTCGGACATATGACAACTCTTCCAGAAATAGCTGAAGATTCCGTTTGCACCAAGATTGCCTGTGTTGTGAAACCATCTGGTAAGTTACGCTTGATCGATGATCTACGTCGCTCAGGTGTTAACGAACAAGTTCGTTGTGAAGAGACTATCTGTCTTCCAGGACTACGTTCTGCGGCATATTTGGTACAGCATTTGAGCGAGACCACTAGTCCGAAGGACCCTTTGGTATGGATTGAAGCAGATATCACGTCTGCCTTTAGACATTTGCCAGTACATATACTTGATCGGAAGTTTCTCGTTAACCATGTTGGCTCTCTCTTCTACCAACATATCCGATTACCATTCGGTCTGCGCAGTTCTCCGCTTCTGTGGTGTCGGCTATTTGGTAGCGTACATCGTCTTGTCAAGAAGCTGATATGTGAAACCTCTATGGATGGCTCGGGTATGATTTATGTAGACGATCTCGGATGGATCGTACCCAAAAGTAAAGCATCTGAGATAACGGCTAAGATCCTTCTTATCTATTCAGCCCTTGGTCTGGACATAGCTTTTGATAAGCTTCGTGTATCATGCACACCTCATAATCTGGGGTTCGAGTGGGACCTAAAGTCTCGCTCAGTGCGTGTACCTGAGGAGAAACGCCTCGCTCTCTTAAAACAGTTGAACTCTTTCGTCTCTGCCCCCGGTAGACGGGTAGCGGTACCTCAGGTGGAGCAGTTAACGGGAAGGCTCACCTGGCTGATGCAAATTACTCCGCGACTGAAAGCGGCCATGGCCCCCTTTTACGCCTTACAAGCAGCGGCGAGGAAGCATGCACTCCGATATGTTACTCTGGGGGACCAGATCTGTCACAGCGCTCAGCTGTATCTGCGTGTACTTTCATCTCCACGTCTGTCGGGGACGACTGCCTCTCAGTTGCTCGGCTGGGTAGCCAAGAAGGATGATCTTTGCTCAGTCGTCGTAACAGACGCGTCACTATCAGGTATTGGTGGGGTAGTCTTCGACTTGGATTCGTCCACGACGGTCCCCAGGGCCTTGAATGTTGAATGGACCATTCAGAATGGTTCTGTACGAAGTATTCTTCGTCACCAGAGTTGTCACAATTCACCACTACAAACCCACCAAGCAGTGCTGATATATGTTCCCTAGAGCTGATAGCTGCTGGTGTGGCCACAACAAAGGCGCTTGAAAGGAATCCAGAGCTGGTTCTCGTCCTTTCTGATAATACGCCCACTGTACATGCCCTACGACGGAACTCTGCGAGAGCTCAGTCTATGAGGTTGATTTTGAGAGCCTTCAACACGCTTAGGCCAATAGGTGGTTTTGTGGTCACAGCATATCATATCCGTGGAGACAATAACAGCCTGGCTGATTTCTTGTCCAGGAATGACAGGCAGACTATTCTTTGCTCCGTACGAAGTCTGGGTATAGAATTCGACGCGGTTCCTATACTGCGCACCTTCCAAACGGCTCTAATCTGAGCTTCTGTTATAACTCTGACTATGGGTGTATTGCGTTCGGGTCTGGGGGACATTTCAAGAAGAGCATTCCTTGGCACCCTTTCAAATGTCATCCCGCAGGGAAAACTTTCCCCTGCAAGCACGACTTTCTATCTCTCGGACTCGGGATCTTCGCCACCAAGTCGTTACGCGGCAATACGTGAGAAGATCGTGCCCGTCTCCTCCAACTCCAAGGCATAGCTCTCAACCCACAACTCGTCTTTCTACGGGCCAAGTAACGAGATGTTTGATGCCGGTAGCGAACAGGAACCACTTCTCAGCCTCATCTCTATCTTCGCCAAGGCCATATTGTCGGCTATTACCTTCGGTGGCAGTACAGGATATCCTATTACACTTGGAAAGCTCACGTGCCCAGTCCACTAACAGGGACCGCAATTCTGTCATTCGCCGATACTGTACTTTCTGCTTGAATCAAGGCCTTACTCCCTTTCCAGCCAGCGTAGACGCGTTGGTGGAATATATTGTCAGTTTAACCAAGTGTGCTCTGATGTATGAAACTATCTATAAGTATGTGAATACTATTAGAATCGAGTCGCGTCTATTTGAGGTTGCTCCCCTCTCGGTGGCAGACGAAGAATATGTTAGGTTGGCCCTCCAGTCTGCCAAACGAATACTCCGAAACCGTAAGCAGAAGCGCACGGTGACTTTGACTCTGGACCAGATCAAGCGTGTTGTCTGTCTGACTCCACCATCAGGGAGAGCAATCAGTGTAGTAGCTTTCTTAACGGGGATATTTTGCTTACTTCGCCTCAAAGAAGTAGCATCTCTCACCCCGGCTGATGTCACGACGAGTTTGTGCGGATCCTACCTCAAAGTATACATAAAGTGCTCTAAGACAGATCAGAGTGGCAGTGGCCAGACCGTCATTTTGGGGTGCAGTCATGGCAAACCTTGTGGCTCACCTTGTGGAGACAGAATTTGCCCCATGCACCGGCTTATGGAAGTGCTGAGCAATGGCCCTGGGATAGCAGCAAAGCCGACTCTTTTCGGCCTGTCCTATAACCAGTTGTCCAAGGACATCAATGCTCTGGTTGAAACCGTTTTCAGGGATACTGACCCGGAGCTGGAGGTTGGACGCAAAACATCACATAGCATGAGGAGAACCGGCGTCTGCCTCCTGGCTGATGCGAAGGTGCCCCTCCATGAAATTGCTGAGTATGGTAGATGGAAGGATGCTACTACGGTCGAGAATGTTTATCTTCGCGATCGATCTCACAGGGCAAGCAGGGAAAAGCATTTCTCTGGAAAGATGCTTGCTTGCCTGGACAGATCTGATATCTTGGTACCGGCGTCAGTAGGAGGTGAGCAAGCATCAGCATCTTCATCATCGGCTGTAGAAGTCGACTTCGTTTGGGATGAGAAACCCATTTCAAATTGACTCTAATCTATGTTTTAATTTGACTAAGTTCCATGATCTTGTTGTGCAATTAATCGATTGATCATCGAGTGAATATACAGGATGGAGTAGTAGTGGGACAGATGGGAGGTAGAGTGTAGGTCTAATCCTTGGCTGTCATATTATGGCATGACAGTCATGGTTTAGGGAGCAGTCTGTGATGATTCCACGCTGCCCTCTTGATTTACAAATAGACCAGCACTCTAGCAGATCGAGGATGTTCACAGCAGGTGGCTATGAGCTAACCCATCCAGATCTCGGTTAGAGCCTATGCTCTCACCAGTCACGGATCTGGAGTTAGCGCTCGCCCGGGTTCCAGTTTAACGGTTATAACCTGCCCGGGCTACGGTTTCATAGAAACCACAAGTTTTATAGCCATTCCTGCCCGTGTCATCCTCGTCTGCCTGTCCCACTCCTCTGTGCATGGGATTTCATGTGACTGATCCCGACTCGTAGGGATCGAGGATAGTGAAATCACACAACTAGAGGTGACACAACAATACACAATAACACAGAATAATATGCGATAATATCATCTAGCTTGCTAGGCTAGTAGGTTTCAAGCACCAACAGCTTCAACAGAATCATCAGTGACTCGATGAAGTCATCAAACCCTCCCTCCCCTTGCCCAGAGGTAGAGTGTAGGTCTAATCCTTGGCTGTCATATTATGGCATGACAGTCATGGTTTAGGGAGCAGTCTGTGATGATTCCACGCTGCCCTCTTGATTTACAAATAGACCAGCACTCTAGCAGATCGAGGATGTTCACAGCAGGTGGCTATGAGCTAACCCATCCAGATCTCGGTTAGAGCCTATGCTCTCACCAGTCACGGATCTGGAGTTAGCGCTCGCCCGGGTTCCAGTTTAACGGTTATAACCTGCCCGGGCTACGGTTTCATAGAAACCACAAGTTTTATAGCCATTCCTGCCCGTGTCATCCTCGTCTGCCTGTCCCACTCCTCTGTGCATGGGATTTCAGCACCCACGATTTTTAACCAGCTTGCCAACGTTGAGGAAATTGGAAGAGTTCAAGTTTTTGTGCGTCGTACGTAAGCACTAACACTTTGTGACGGCGGTGCGTACGCGTCGGCGGTCCAAACGTGAGTGAATTCAAAGTGTTTCATCCCTGTTGTTCAGAGTTATCGTTTTCAGTTTTGTCACATTGCTCCTGGCAACCACCGCCTCAGATTTGTACTACATCACTCACACGGAAAACCTCAACTACTACTAGTACGTATCCTTATGCAAGTCTCCAGTGCAGACAGCTCAACGTTGTCTGATGGTTTCACTACTAGTGACCCCTCTGGTAGGCTGAGTTACCTAAGCAATGATGGCATTCTGAGGGCTACCTCTTCCAGCAGCACTGATGTAACGCCTGAGCTTATCAACACCCACGCGAACTTTCGTCAGAGCCCGCTCTCGAACAACGATATTGGCAATATGAACTGCGATGAGGGCGGGAGGCAACAACAACAACAACTTCATCTCCAACACTCTCCTAAACTGCA